ACCATATACAATATACATGAGTATTTTTTTTTTATATTCTTTTACACGTGTAAGTAAGATTTGTTATTTTATTTAATAAATCAAATATTATCTAAAATTATATAATATATTTATAATATTATTTTTCAAAGAAGAGATTTTAAGAAGAAAAAAAATATTGATGGAAGTATAAAAGAATCAAGGAATTATTGATCGAAGGATCAAATTGAATAATATACAAAGTTTAAGGATTAAATTGAAAAAAAATATTTTCAAAAAGAACAATTGATGTAACACAAGTATTCTAAAATGTCCGAGGAACATGTGATTGAAAATTAGTAAAAAACAATCAAAAGAATGATAAAAATGGATAAATAAGAAAATTATGGACCAAATAATAAAAAAATCAAATTATTTAGCTAAACACAAAACAATGACATAGTTTTAATATTTGATTGTTCAAATCAAAATTAAAATTCCAAACATAAAATGTGAACCACTAATTCAAATTCACTCGAATAATTCAAAGTGCCTAATTGACATTCATCTCTATTATTATGAAATCTGGGTTTAGGGTGACCTAGGTAGCAATATTTCTCTACACTCGATGTGATTCATGGCTTCAAATTCAAAGGACCTATACCCAATATTCAAACAATCAACTTGAGAGCAAAATGGTGGCATTCCATTTTCAAAATGTTTAAATGATGAAGCCGTACTTACCATACCTCAAGTAAAAAAAATCATTTTCTCAACAAATAATTAACTAATGGTTGACATTAAAAATACCAAATGACCAACCTTTTTAGCAATAACCTCAATTGACTTTAATTTTCGTATTTATAACGTGGATCATTATCCTCTTCTCTAAAAGATATGTTTAATAAAATGTTCAATGTCATCACTTTTTTTATGAATAGAAGCCGTCTGTCTTATTAAAAAGTAAAAATATTCAAAATTATAAAAGGGTTAACAACTATCATCGTAAATTAAATACATAATTTGGACATTTTCCTATAACATTGAAACTAGCTATTTTAGATCGTATAAGGATCACACATGGAAAAGGTTAAAAACTCTAACAAAAAATAGATACAAACAAATTCGACTGTATCGGCAAACGAACAACAAAAGGGAATTTAGGTTTGAAAGAGCACAGAGAACTGCAAATCAGAATCGAGCGTCGTGAGAAACTATCCACGAATGCAAAGTCGCGTATCCAAATTCAATCTGAGGGTTCATAGTAGGGAAGATCAACAGGATTACAAATAAGCACCTGAGGAATAGCACCGCTGTGACTCCTCCTGAACCACCATGGAATAAGCACGATTAACTGATGGAAGTGGATCCAAAAGAAGGATCTGGCTCCGAACAGCAGAATACGTCTCATTTAGACCCATTAAGAATTGAAACAGGCATTGTTGAAGAACATGATTCAAGACTTGCTGAGAATCAACACAATTACAGGAAGAAACAGGCACTAACGCATTGTATTCATCCCAAAGAAGCTTGAGACGCGAATAATAAGTTGAAATAGAAGACTCTCCCTGAGTAAAAAGAGCAATCTCACGATGCAAGAAAAAAATTCGAGATCCGTCAATTTTGTTGAAACATTCTCTCAAATCCTTCCAGACAAATGAAGTAGTAGAGGCAAACACTAATCCAACATAAAGTTCAGCACTCAAAGTATTCAGTAGACATAAGAGAACAATCGCATTACAGCGATCCCACTGTGATTGAAGAAGTTCACTGAAATCATCACGAGCGCAATCATTGTCAATGAACCCTAATTTGTTCTTCGCCAACAACACAATCCGAATTGAACGACTCCAGAGATTGTAATTCTCAATCCCATTCAATTGATGCGAAACCAACACAGTTCAGGCGTATCAGACGGATGAAGATAAAGAGGATGGGTGAAATCAACGGAATACATGGAGAAAGAGGAGAAACATCGAGAAACCGATAAGGAAAGAACTACGGAAGAAAGAACTACGGAAGAAAGAAAAAAAAATCAGAAAGGTCGAAGAGCCAAACGAGACCTTTCCTATGATACCATGTTAAAACACGTGTGTGAAAAAATACCTTATTTTTTATTACTAAAAATATTTAATACAATATCGTATTTATACATTTCAATTACATCAACTGGTTAATAACTAATTGCTAACTAACTACTAACAAACTTTCCAAAAATGCTTCTCAACTTCTCAACAGCCATCTTGATCAGTCGTGGCGTCATCAAATTCTAGCCTGAGAAAAAATAAATTAAAAAGAACGTCCAAACGATCGAGAAAAAAGATGAAAACGTGCCACAAAGATAGAAAAAAACGTGTCATAAAGGCAGATAACGTGCCACAAAGACAAATTTATTCTTATTAAAAAATTAAAAAAAAATAGAGAAGAGAACCGACAGTCGGCAACCAGCATCAAAACCGGTGTCACCCCGGTTAAGTAAAATCAAATTAGAAAAAGTTGATATGATCTATAGAAAACAATATAAACTCTAAAGAAAAAAAAAGGAGGGGTAAGCTGCTAGGATTTTTCTATATGATAATATTTTCTTTTAAAAATCTCTTCCTATCCAAGGCATGGGGAAGTTCTACATTGCGGCATGCTTAAAAACGGCTAAAATAAGGCGTTATCTGTTTTGTTATAGTTTAAATAATAAAATCGGTAAAAATTACCTAAATTTTTCCGGTAATTACCTAAAATATTATGTTAATCCGGTCATTTTTTAAGCCTAATAATATTTTCGGTATTTTTTTTCCGAAAATCCGATAAAAAACACCCAATAATAACAAAATTGGTAGCGCCTAATAATGTTTCCGGTAATTTTTACCGGTTTTATTATTTAACACAATAACAATACCGATAACGCCTTATTTTAACCGTCTTTTAGTCTGCTGCACCGGAGCTATCCCGACTTTCTTTCCTATTTAATCTTTGACGACTTTGTCATGGACATTGTCATAGTTGTCCACCCTATCTACCTCATCACTCATTATTACGTTCAACATAAAATCATACAGTGATATCACTTATGGTAAGTGTCATAACCATTTTTTTATAATTTTTTTTTATTATTTAAAAAAACAATTATGACTTTTATTTTGGAAAATGGGTGATTTTGAATTGATTTGAATAAAATTGAAAAGAGTCGCCATCGACCTTTAGGTTAGGTAGGTCGAATACCTAAAAACATCTTTTAAAACAATTTTTAAAAAAATCATTTTATAAGACAAAATTTGGTATGCGTCACCAAAGATTTGATTAAATGGATTCGGGAATCGGTTACGTGTAGGGAAGGATTAACACCCCACAACGCCCAAAAACTGGTACTGTGTCGCTTACACATTGTCGTAATGGTAGAAATTACAAATCGAATATAAAATTAAAATATGATCTATTTATCGAGTATTGATTAATTTGCTTTGAATTAAATAATTAGAGAAAAATCTTTAACTCGAAAATAAATATCAAAATTAGCAATCCTCCGTCGGGAAAGCTAACTCGAATATTTCTTATCAGTTAAAGAATATTCCCTCCTCATTAATATTAAAAAAATGTGAATCAAATATAAATGAAAATCGATCTTCGCATAAAATACATCGTTATTTAGTAACATGCATCGCATTATTTAAATAAAAATAATTAATTAACAAAATAAAATCAATTTTATTTCAAGTTCACACTTGTTCGAATGTCATATCGGATTACACCACTTCAATAAAGCGATGCTTTCCACGCCCATTCTACAAATCGTTGTTCTTGAAAATGTTTGAATAAATAAAAATATTGACAACTATATATTTTTACAAGTTAAATAAATCATATGAATGAAATAGAATAAACATTTACAATACATTTTCACATATGAATATACAAGGACAGAAAATAAATTTATAGATATATATATAATGATATATGATACAACATGGGTATGTAATGAACAAATAGAAAATAAAATAATATTACATATGTACGTACATTCTATAATATACATGGATATATAACATGGACTGAAATGTAAATATATAAACATGGTAGATCATAATGAGAATAAAATAAACTACGTAAGCTTTATAAACATGTGACTAAATAGAGAAAATTAAACTTTAAATGCCTGACAATTAACATAGCAAGAGTCATGATACCTATACAAATACCATATAGCAGGAGCATTGGGATGGTAATAAAACCACAAATAATATTTAGGACTAAAACAAAAATTATTAAAATCATGCACCAAATATATAAACAACACAAAATATAAATAAACAAGCAAAAAGACTAAAACATAATATAGGTAAAATGAAAAGGAAAAGTCAGAACTTCATTAATAATAGTTGACTCTAACACAAGGAAACAAGAACTCAAGACTTTAAAAGGTATTTAACCCATTTTTATTTAACCTAAACTATTTCCTCTCATTTTCTTCATTTGCCTGAAACTACTAAATCTCCAACCTCCCTTCCTCTCTTGTTCGTGCACCCATGGTGGCTGACCCCGAAGAACCGGAGCCCGACGCTCAGGCCATCACGCACGGGTGGCCATTCCCCTCGACTAGCTACCATCGACGCCCTAAAACCCAACGCCAACCGACACAAACGAAAACCAAGCCTAATCCCCTGTCTCTCCCTTGGTCGAGAGGTCCAAGCCGTAAGGCAGGCCACCACACACGGTGGCGCTGCCACCTAAACAAAGCTAGCTCGATCTCTACCCTCTCCTTGGCGACCCTATTTCTCCGACGAACCCCACAGCCAGGTAAACTTCGATCCCTAACTTATTTACTTTATAAAAGCATAAGAATCACATGAAACTAAGAACTAGATTAAACAATAAACTCCTTTCTAGTTACATTCTAAGAATCTAGTAAAATAAACCGAAAATAAGGAACTGAATACCTCTTGATTTACTTGAAGATTTCAATTTTTTGATTTGCTGTTAAAAAGACATTGCCTCCATTTTTGATGAAAAATGTTTATGTTTTTTCTGATAATCCCTCCCTTTCTCTCTACACTGATTTCTTTGGGTTTTATAACCCATTACAAATACTAATATAAATTTGATGTTGCTTCTTGTTGATGTGTTTGGTGCCATGATTTAAGGGAGCTGACATGTTGCAGTAAATGTAGCAGGGCATGGGTGAGGTGTGGTGTTGGCGTGGGGTGCTGTGGAGCAGGGCATGAGCATCAGCTGGGTTGGTGGTTTGTCCAGGACGGGTCAGGTTGAGTGCTAGGTCACTTGCAATGGCTTCAAATTGAGCCTACAAAATATGTCCATTTGTATTAATAATAATAATAATAATAAATAAATAATAATTAAAATAATAATAGTAATGAATTAAAATAGAAAAGACTCGGATAAAAACGGGTGTGTACAGTAAGACTACTATTATCTTTTTAAAGGAATATATTTGACAAAATGTATAATATCCTTACTTTTTAAACTTTTAAATCTCTTATTTCTTTATGACACGCGATTAATATTCTTATCTTTTTAAGGGGTGATAAACACATAAGAAAAATTATTACTATTATTATTGTTTTGAGAGGAGCATTGAAAAGTTATTACCGTTCCGTAAATTGATGGATAAATAATGAAATAGTGGTGTATGTAAACGTGTGATACGTTGAGAAGAAGGTATATGTGTCAGAAGGCCGGCGCCAAATCAGATTGACTTCAATCATGCTACCCCTTCTCCCTTCTTGTTTCCAACTCTCTGTATATAAATGGAGCTCATTCTTCCCTTGGGATCGACAGCTTACACTTCAACTTCTCCGTTGTAAACTGCAGCATCCGCTTCATACTTGCTTTGAGAAACTTGTTATAATCCAATGGGAAGAAGTCCTTGCTGTGACAAAAATGGCCTTAAGAAAGGTCCCTGGACTCCCGAGGAAGACCTTAAACTCTCCAACTATATTCAGATTCATGGACCTGGAAACTGGCGTACGCTCCCAAAGAATGCTGGTATGCAATTGTGTTTCTCTCGTGTCTGCACACAGCAGTACATGTCACTTGAATGTGTTTTGTTCATTGTTGTTTGTTTGAACTGTTTAGGGCTCCAAAGATGTGGGAAGAGTTGTCGTCTCAGATGGACAAACTACCTTAGACCTGATATAAAGAGAGGGAGATTTTCCTTTGAAGAAGAAGAAACTATAATTCAACTGCACGGTGTTTTGGGCAACAAGTAGGTTGCACAGTTTGGTGATCATGTTCATATATATAATACTGGTATGATGTTAGACTTTTCGAGGGTTTACTAATTTTTGTTCTGGATTTAATATCAGGTGGTCGGTCATTGCAGGTCGCTTGCCGGGAAGGACCGACAACGAAATCAAGAATTACTGGAACACTCATATTAGGAAAAGGCTATTGAGAAATGGAATCGATCCGGTGACACATGCTCCACGGCTTGATTTTCTTGAACTTTCTTCCATTCTCGGCTTGACTTTGTGCAGCCAATCTGTTGTTAACGCGTCCAACTTGTTATGTGCACAAACTCTCCTAAATCCTCAGCTGCTAAGCCTAGCCAACACGCTCCTGTCTCTGAAGCAAGAAAACCCAGAATTAGTGCTGCAATATCTCAACCAAAACCAGCTCTGCACCACATCTGCCCTGCCTTGTTCTTCGATGATCAACCAATCAGGACTCATGCAAGCCACCGGAGAAGGTTTTTCTTCCGACATGACAAACTTCAGCTACCCAAATTCCCAAGAAAATTTGACATCTTCAACTTTAAGTAATGCATTTGTCGGGCAACCCAACTCAACAGCTCCAGTTCAGTCGGAAACTCCCAAGCTGCAATCACCGGATGGAAACCAAATTTACAGCTTTGATTCTGTGAGGTCGACGCCGACATCAAGTCCAACACCTATGCATTCATCATCAACGTACATGAACAGATGCAGTACTGATGACGAGATAGAAAACTTCAGCAGCTTGTTTAAATTTGAAATTCCCGAGGGTTTAGATATCAATGATTTTATGTAAATATTATATATACAATGTAATGCTTAATATTTTGGACATGTAAACTAAATGCACCATCATTGTTTATGAATTTCGTTTTCTGTTTTTTGCGGAGCTTAAGATTTTGGACTTATGATACAGTACGATAATGTCAACTTTTACGAGCTGCAGATGATGGATGAATTACGTATTCTATTAATCTTGTATAGAGATAGATGATTATGGAATTTTTTTACTGTTAAACACGTAAGCAATCACATTCTAGAAGCATATTTCCCTCCAGCATAGTTATCGTTAATTAATTAATTAATTATTAGAGATTTTTCATTCAGTCATCTTCATCCTTAAGCGATGACAATTAATTCCGTCACCAAAACTTCGTTGTGCTTCGATTTCTTATCAACGCGGAGAAAGTGCAATCTTGTCTTTTGCATGTAATAATAATTCGATGAATAATTCACTAAGAGTTTAATCTCTATTTATATATGTTTTATTTATAAATTAATATTATTTAAAACTCGTTCATCAAGTAAATTTTGCTTACGAAGGGATTTATTTATAATTTGATTTGAAAATTCATTTAATTTATTATTTGAAGCATATTTAAAACTAACGCGTACTTACTCCCCCGCCCCCTTTTTTCTTTAGAGTGTTATGCATAGATTAAATCATTTTTTTATTTTATTTAGCCGGCGACAGTATCAATTTTGATATTGGTTGTCGACAGTAGGTTCTCTTCTCTTTTTGTTTCTTTTTTAATTTTTAAATAAGAATAATTATGCATTTGTGACACATTTTTCTCTTCATCCGTGACACATTTTTGTCTTTTTTCTTAGTCGTTTGGCCGTTTTTTTATTTTATGTTTTCTCAAGGTTGGATTTGACAACGTCAAAGCTTCTTTGTAATCGTGTTAATCTTCCCTGCTATGGACCATTGAATTAAATTTGAACACACGATTTTGCATTTGTAGAAAATTTCTCATGGCGTTCGACTCTGATTTACGGTTCTTGGTGGTCTTTCAATAGCTTAATCTCATTTTATGGTTTGTTTGTCGATGTTGTAAGATTTGTTCGTATTTATTTTTTGCTTGAATCTTTTGGTTGGATTTTTAACCTTTTACATGTTGGTCCTCATATAACCCTAAAATGACTAATTTCAATATTATATGAAATTGTTAAAATTTTTATTGAACATAAATTAAAAAAACAAGAAAGAACACATAAACTAGTAATCATTTATTGAAAGTCGATTCAATAAACAGTGTGGGAATGGGTATTTGATTCCTTGATGTTATTTCATTCCCTCTTTCATTTATAGAAACCTAGTAGTAGAAAGTAGTCGACTTTGGTCTGTCCTGGCTTATATACCTTGCTTTGGCATCGTTACCTCATCTTTACCATTTTTCCAAGTCTCCAAGGCAGCGACGGACTCGTGTTCATATTAAAATTTAAATATTTTTCAGTTTATTATTATCTTAGTGATAAAATTCATCATGAAATTTTATTTTATTCTATCCTATTAAAAAATTATATTATTAATGTATGTTTTTACTTTTAAAAATATTTTTGAATCCGACATTATTTCATAATGATTTCTGAACTTTTGTTCTATGGGAAACATTAATTTCCTGTCCCACTGATGCTAAGGAAATCACATTTTGTTGGTCAACAATCTTTAGAATATATGGTTAAAAATTTTCAGTTGACATCTCTTCTATTCTTTAGTTTGTGAGTTCAATACTTATTAAGAGTAAAATTTTACTTTCTTTTTCTCTGTAGACAGAAATTGTTTGAAAAAACAAAAGAAAGCACATTTTACTGAGTTATAATAAATATTTTCTTTCTATACATTTGAAAGATTGGTGAATATAGTCGTTTCATTTATGTGGGCCTAAAGAGGGGAATAAGAAAATATATGTGTCGAATTGAAAATTAATTTCGTAAGGGACGAAGAATTTTATGTTAAAATTTAGGCGTGTAAATGAACTGAACGTTGAGTGAATCGTTCATGAATCGTGCGGCGGGAAGTTCGTTTATGTTCGTTTATTTATTAAATGAACGAACATGAACAAGATTTTGTGTTCGTTTAATTAAATGAACGAACACGAACAAAAGGCTCGTTCGTTCATTTACGTTCGTGAACGTTCGATTATATGTTTGTTTATGTTCATTTATGTTCGAATAGAGGGCAAGTTGAATATGTTACGAAGATTATTGAAATTGTTTGGATTTCAAGAAGATTGTTTCGTTGAACAAATTAACTTTAAGACTTTATTATGTTCATATAGCTTATTTATGATTTATGTATATTTTTTCGTATTCGAACAAATTAACTCTAAAAATAAATTAGCTCTAAAGTTGCAGGTTATATTAATGAATTTTAAGTTGTTATTCTTGTTGTTTACTTTTTTTTACATTCATTTGTTGTGTTCGAATAAGTTTGTTTTTGTGTTTGTGTTGTTCGTTTATGTCCGTTTATTGTGTTCGTTTATGTTCATTTATTATGTTCGTTCGTTTGTGTTCGTTTACGTTCGTTTATGTTCGTTTATCCTTTAAATAAATGAACATGAACAAGCTATATTCCTTAATGAACGAACATGAACAAAAAAATGTGTTCGTTTATGTTCGTGTTTATTTATGTTCGTTTATTTATTAAATGAACGAACATGAACATACATCCGTTCGTGTGCATTCGATTCGTTTACATGCCTATTAAAATTTAAAATATTTTTAATGATATGTATTAATTTTCTTTATGTGGGCCTATAAAAGGGAATGAGAGGGGACACATGTTGAATTTGAGGAAGTTAACCTTACGGTGAACGAAACAATTTATGTCAAGAGAAAAAAATGTATAAAATCTTAAATAATAAATTAAAAAAATAGAAAACAAAAATAAATTACAAATAAAAAATTACATATAACATACCAATATTATATAAAATTTTTAAATTTTTATGTGTTACTAGAGTTATCATGGGTTACAAAATAAAATAAAAATATTGCTAGTAATTATTTTTGTGTTATAAAATATATGTGTTTTTACAAGATAACTTTATATACAAAATTCATATCTTAGCAACACAATTAATAAAAATAATAATTATAATTTTAAACACGAAAATCATGATCCTTTTTTAATACTCCATAATTTCGTAATTTGCCAGCATTATAATTTTTTTGGGGGTGTTTAACATTATAAATTAATTACTAGCAAGACAAGCAATAAACATCCATAGCTTCGACATGTTCAGCAAAGGAAACCAAATAGGGGTCTTCATTAGATTAGTTTGGACACCGACCGAATCAAATTTCCATTAATCGAAATAATTAAACTTTTTGCTTTAACTGTTAACTGAACTGGAGTTTTTTTTTTAAATATTAACCTAACCAAATTTTTTTAGTTAGATTAATTTGAACTTAATAGAGATATTTTTTATTTGGATTAAAATTTAATTAAGTCTTTATAATTTAATGGGTATAGTGTGATTAAAAAATAATTAGGTCTTAATTTTTAATAGATTTGAACTTAAAATATGTATTTAATATATATAATATATATAATATTTTTGGTTAATTCAGTTAACTAGTCGATTTCGATCCGAATTAATCGTTAATCTAATTTTGAGAGAGAAATAATTGTTCTCGAACCCAACTAATTCAATGCTAATTGTTTTAACTGAACTAATTTTGTTTTGTCAGTTAATTCAGTTAAAATCGGAAAATGAACACCCATAAAACAAAAAACTAATCATTTGAGATCATTGAAAATTATAGGATAAATTACTCAAATAGTCATCTAACTTTTAGAGTGTTATGAATTTGGTTATTCAAACAAAAATTCTTATAATTATATCATTAGAGTAGCGTTGGAAACATTATGCATCTACTTTAAGTGAAAAATACCTTAAATACTTAAAATTAACAAAAAAAAATATAATTTGAGTATTTATTTTTTCATTAAGCCTGATTTTAATATACGTTTAACTTAAAAAATCATTTGCTTGTAATCACATAACAAAGGTTTTTGGTTCAGTGTAGTGGTTGTGTATTGAAGGTATTCATAGGTCTTGGCTAGGGTTGTAAATGAGACGAGACAGATCGCGAGCTACTCGAGATCGACTCGATCAAGGCTCGATAAATACTCAGATCGAATGGACTCGACTTGAGCTCGAGCTCGACTCAAGTTCTTAACGAGCCGAAACGAGCTACTCGATATTCGACTCGAAAAGCTCGTGAGCAGCTCGAAAAAAATGTTATATTATAATTTTAGATTTTTTAACATTACATTATAAAAAATATATTAAAAATACATTATTGATAATTATAAAATTTAAAAAATACATTAAAAATTCTACAATACAACTAAACCATATTGTAACGCATTTAATATCAATATACTATATTGTACTTACCTCATAAATTAGTACCAAGTCGATTAATTAATGTATTTGTAATTAACCCTAAGCCTTAAACCCTAAGCCATAAACCCTAAACCTTAAACCCTAAATCCAATTATATGATAGAGTTAAGTTATGCACATGAAGGTAACAAAGTATGCAAAATAATGTTATGTGACTCCTAAATAAATCATTCACATATTTATACATAAACATATCAACATGCAAAATAAATATACACAACTTGGTGATTGAGACATGATTTTATCATATCTTAATGATGACTACCGACACCGTCATTGCTTTCAAGCACTGACTCACCAACATAATATTTCAAGAACTGACTCGACGACATAATGTAAACGGAGATTTGATGTACAAATACAACTAAAACGATGGGATCATATTTTATCATACCTTAGTCAACAGGTTAACATCAATATCATACAATCACCAAATTTTTAATAGAAAATGACGAGTTTGAATCATATGAATAGTTGAGGTAAATACATGATAGGATTATGATATATATAATTATAAACAATTAAAGTGTTTTAGAATGGAAGTAGAATTTGGGATAGTTATAAAGTAATATATATTTAAAATTTTCTTAATCAATTAACAATGCTCACACATCTTACATATACATTTATTTAAACTCAAAACCTTTATGGAGAACAACATTTCCTTTTGTTACAAAATTATTGATATTTTAAAAAATATATTTGAAATGTGTTATTTATTTTTACCATTTATTTAAACTCAATTTTGAGGGGAAAAATAATTGTTCCCGGACCAACTAATTCGATGTTGATTGTTTTAACCGAACTAATTTTGTTTTGTTAGTTAATTCAGTTAAAATCGAAAAATAAACACCCATAAAACAAAACAAGCCATCATTCGAGATCATTGAAAATTATAGGATAAATTACTCAAATAGTCATATAACTTTTAGAGTGTTATGAATTTAGTTATTCAAACAAAAATTCATATAATTATATCATTAGAGTAGCGTGGGAAACATTATGCATCTACTTTAAGTGAAAAATACCTTAAATACTTAAAATTAACAAAAAAATATAATTTGAGTATTTACTTTTCATTAAGCCTGATTTTAATATACGTTTAAATTAAAAAATCATTTACTTGTAATCACATAACAAAGGTTTTTGGTTCACTGTAGTGGTTGTGTATTGAAGGTATTCCTAGGTCTTGGCGTTCATTCCCTCGTGCTTCAATTTTCTTCTTCTTCTTCTAACATGGGGTTCCTCTCCCAACTTCATTAGGTCATTAAAAAGGAAATCTTATAAGACAGAGTTAGAAAATATTTTTAAATAATTTTTTATGAGATAAATTATACCATAAGTCATCCAATTACTAGTAAGATTATAAATGAGTCATCCAGTTATTAATAAGATTACAAATAGGTCACACAATTTCAAACAGTTACAAATGAGTCACTTAATTAATACAAAAGGAAAAGTCATTTTGGATTTTGGGCTTCTTGAAGATCGAGGGATACATATGAGGATATAAACTCTAGAGAGGCTGTCATTTGTGAGAGTAATAATATTTCTCGAAACAAAGACCATCTGATAGTGGATGAAGTTCAACAAGTTTAAAAGTTTTCGGGTGAGTTAATGGCTTTTGAGAGAGACTCTAATTAATCCAATCCAATGAATTGAACAAGGAGACTAACATGAATCTTATAGTGAAATTTAGGGACCACTATATACAAACATACAATGATAAATGACTAGATTCTTACAATCTATTATTTGAGTGGCTTGATTGTTACAATAATTAATTAACGTGACTGTAACTTTTGAATCTAAACTTTTAATTAACAAAATATTTAACGTTAGAACGACATCTAATATTTAACTATCTAATGACTAGTTTATAATCTTTGGAAATTAATAACCTATATGTAATATTAGTCATAGTTGACTAGCATGTATTGGAATTTACCCTAAAACTCAACACAGGTCATAACTTGGAATAAAACTGGTAATGGTGGGGAAATGTCAGCCTATATTGCAAGGGCATGATTACACCTTTTCACTTCCAAAGAGCTCATTTACCAAAGCTTTTGCTGGGCCACATACAGATATCTCCCACTTTCTAGTCTTAGATAAAATATGCATATTCCATAAGCCTGTTAAGTGCATGCATGCATGGCAAATTAAATAAGAAAAAGCATAGGGGAAGGAGATTTGTTAGTAGGTTTTTGGATTATAAAATGTAACTTTTCGTTTGAATTGTGTTACGATTGATTGATTGATTATACGTGGATGTTTGTCTTTGTCTATGGATCTTGCCCTGCTGTGAGTGTTCGACAGTCGTTTTTTCTTTTTTCAATTTTAAATTTGAAGCTGTCAATATGTGTAAACAGAATAAACAAAGGAAGGAAGATTAAGTTTTGACAGGTATATATTGAGGTAGACTTATTTGGACATTTCTGCTATGTCCAGTTCCCACAAGGTAGTGTATATTTTGCTAAAGAGTGTTTATAATTATTGTTTGTTTAATAATATCACTTTATTTATGTTGATAATAGGTTATGAGTTCGATACAGGTAATGTGGGGGCGAAATGAGTTGAACAGAGAGACGTCAAAATCCATAGGATGCTTTTGCCTCTTTCCACAGGGTAACGTTCCCTCTGCATTTTTACAGTGTCTGTGTCTTTTCTGTTTCCCCAAACTCATGCCCTATTGGCTATTGCTCTCCATTCCCATATTAAAAAGGGTAAACTAACGTTTAGTGTCTCTATTATTTTTTGTTTCAAAATTATATTTAATATTATATTTTAATTTTTTTTCACTCACAGTTAAAAAATTAATAATGATATTTATATATCACCATAAGAAAATATGAGAAAATGGTAGTAGTAATTAGGAAAAGAAAGGATGAGAGTGAGATAGAGTGGGGGCAGTTAGTCTCGTATCATGCACTATGCTACGGGGCCAAAGGAAACAGTGAGAACGAAATGGAAAAGAACATCACACCACCTGCCAAATCCTCATACTACACATAATATAGCCTTTATTTTCAACACTCAATCTTATACTCATTCACGAATATAAAGTTTAATGTTAAATATATAAAATTTGGACTTCATAATTTTTTCCCTCTCACCAGAAAGATAATAGGATGCTCTATAATACCTGATTAAACAGCAGAAAGAGAGAGAGAGAAGAGATATGCCGAATCCCATCTCCATTTCTTCATGGCTCTTTCCCTATCAATCACTTCCGCTTTGTTTTGAATAGCCTGGCAGTTGCTGCTAGTTTTGAAATTTTAGGTCTGAACAAGGCACAAAGCACCACTTCTTTTTTAGATATCCTCTCCTATGTAGAAAGAGAAGCATTATTATTGAAGCCATTCAAAGTCGTCTCCTTTGCAATTGCCTTCCCCACCTTCTCTTTCCTTTGAAAAATATATTCTCAAAAGGTAAAAGCCTCATCATTTAGACGTAGAAATCGGATAAAATAACCCATGGCTTCTTTTTCCCTCGTTTCCACGTTTTCACTCTTTTTCGCTACCGCTATAGTCCACCATTCCCTCGCCGGTTTCTTAGCTCAACCGGTACCCATAGCCGACACATCCCCAAACACGGTCCCCGCACTCCCTGCTCAAACCCAAGCTCAAATTTGCCGGCTTGACTTGTCGGCCGAGCTATTCGGCGGTGTCAACGACGCCTGTGGCCACAACCTAGATAGGAGCCGCTGCTGTCCCGTCTTAGCAGCGTGGCTCTTTGCTGCTCACGCCAGGTATGCTTTGCAGGTCTCGGCTCCTGCTACAGAAGAATCTGAGCTGCCGGACCAGCCCATGAGGCCGGACGATTCGCAAAAGTGTGTGAACTCGTTACAAAGCGCATTGTTAAGCAAGCGCGTGAGGATTCCTCAACCGAACGCCAGTTGTGATGCGATTCTGTGTTTTTGTGGGATAAGGCTACACCAGATTAGTTCCTTGAGTTGCCCGGCTGCGTTTAACATTTCCGGTCACCGGAACGCGACGCCCACTGCTGCCGTTAAGAATTTGGAGAGGAATTGCAGGAACTCTTCGTATGCTGGGTGTACAAAATGCCTCGGCGCTCTTCAAAAGGTAAGTCATCATTAATGGAAGTTGTTTCCTTTTCTTGGGTCCATATATTGGCTGCGTAGTTAATGATACCCAACAACCCATTCATGCGAATACATTAATTCTAGGAATATTGTCTTACAGCTCCTCTTGTTGCATGAGTTTGCATTTAATAAGTAACTGATACTCGGTCGATACTACAAAAATGTGTTGCAATGAACTTTTCACAACCCAAAACTTCAAAGTTGAGAACTTCAGAGGCGATGGGCAAATTTGTGATGGCCACATGACTTGAGGAGTGGGTTGAAGATGGACTTTACAAGGCAAAAGAGGGTATACTTTTTGCCATTCTTGTAGACCCAAGAAAGTGACATTGTCATGTGCATGAATGAGGCTATTATCCCTTTACATTGCAAACAATTAGACCTTCGGCCATGATTTACTTCTCCATCGCCTTTCCCCTTTGGTGCACCAACTTAGCCTAGTTTTCAGTTCAACCGAATCTCTAAAACACCCTTGTTTTTGCAATTTTCAGCTCAAAGGTGGACACAACAAGAACGGAACGCAAGACAGGAGCACGACCGAGAGAGCGAACAAGATGTTCAACCGAGACTGCCAGCTGATGGGGCTCACTTGGCTCCTCGCGCGCAACAAAACGGCGTACATACCCACCGTTTCGGCCGTACTGAGGGCCATAATGTACAGCTCGCACCCTCATGAGGCCAAGTGCAGCCCGGATCAAGAGAACATGCCCTTAGCCGTTGATTCTCTTCAGTTCGAGAAAGTTCAATCGTCGGCACCAATGTCACCACCGTCGTGGGAATCTTCTGCGTTCCTGATTCTGCCCCCTATGATATTGGTTTTAGTATTCGGGTAGCCTCGACTGGTGATGTTTAGTATTATTTTTTCTGGGTAGTCGTCTGAGACTGTCGTGGAATCACGTGAAGCTTTCTAAGCTAGCAGACAAACAGAAACTGGCTAATGCGGGGTGGTTTTTGTCTTCTTCTCCACTGTAAATTTCAGCTCGTTTTCAGATTTGTCTGAAATGATATAACAGACGAGGTGAAGGAGCGATTTTCCATTAATATGTAGCTATGATTATTCAACTTTTGCCTGTCATTTCTTCATCCCACAACTTCACCATTATCCCTTTGAATCGCTTTCATTACTTGTAATATATACATTATTGCACCATTTACCTCGTGTGATGGAAATCAATAATTTTTCAAGGCTGATGCCTTCTGGGACTCTCAAAACGAGAGTGATTCGAATGGAGAACAAGTTAACAAAGAAGGGAATCCCTAGGAAAAAGCATGTTGGTCGCCTAGTAATATTAATTAAACAACTATAAACAAGGGTTTAGATCAGCATAGTTTTGATAATGGGTAAACTCTAGTTGGAGAATACAAAGGAAAAGATTATGTAATTAGAAAAGACGGATTGTTTTTGTAGAAATATGTTTAAAATATATAGAAGAGATAACATGTTGAGGAGACTCAAAAGAGTGGATTTCGGTTCCAATGTCGTCGCTTTGCGCTTTGCGGTATCATCTTCCAAAGGATGATGCTCCCCTTTCCTGACATTCACATACACCAAGCAAGTATTTTCTTCCTTTTTAATTTTATCATAATTACTCAAACTTTTATCACTTTCATTACAATCACTGTGGTTATAATATAATGACATGACACATTAAAGTCTTCTTTCAAAATAATTATAATTTTTCAAACTGGTCATAACTATAAATGTTAAGTTTTCGATGAATGAAGCAGTAACTAATCAATTCCAATAGTGGGAAGATTTCGTTTGGTCAAAAGATTAATATAATTCAATTTTAAGTTGATTTGACGGTCGAGAATGACAGATCATAATGAACAACAAAAAAGAGGTAAACAACTTGATTACACTTAAGCAAGGTCTTAGGTTCGAGTCATCGTGTATGCAGAAAATCCTTGCTAGGAGTTGCTGGGAGACTCACCCACCAAAACCAGGTGTGCGACGCGGATCGGTCCAGATTAGTCATGGCAAAGCCTTGGAATTGAAGTACAAAACAAAAAGCTAATTTTTCGATCCACCACTATTAACAGTTGGATTAGCATGGAACCAAACTATGTTAGCATTTTGGTCAAACAGAGCCTTTCCATCGTTAGGATTGATTGATGACCGTTTTGTTCATTGAAAACTGAACTTTTTTAGAGGCTACCAATTTAGAAAATTAAAGCTTTTTTTTTTTTGAAGAATAATTTAACGTGCCATATCAACATTTTTGAATATAAAACTAAGGATAGGGATTGTAATAGAAACGAATTAAAATTTTAGTTACTGTAGTGAAAATGTTCTAAAAGTTTTAATGACTAAAGTAAAAATGTCCTAAAAGTTCATTGACTATCAATATAATTTGCCCTTTTAAGAATTAACATTTGATAAATGAAAGAAAATAAAAAGAGAAACCATCACTATTAACACTTAACCCTAATCCAGTAAAAACCAAAAAACAAAACAGGAATACTAATGCCACACGTACTCCATTACTTCGGAGGGATTATGCCTTGAACAGACCTTGTAAAGCCATAATAACCAATCACCATATTATCTAATGGATCTATATAACGAGTCATGGAGTAAAACTATTAAACTAAGGATTTAAACATGTATCTTATAATTTTATATCCAACTTAACCACTGCACATCAAAAGAGATCATCGAATATTCGAAGGATATAATAAAACACCACGAATAGAGAGAGGTCTCTCTCTTTCCGTATTAAAGAGGAAATTCATTATACTTTACTTTTATAACAAAATCAATCTATTATTTTTCGTCTAAATTAAATCATCACCTCTGGTACAAGATTCAGAAATATTTTTTAGGGTATACATATATAGGGATGGGCAGGGGTATGGTTTGGGTTTCGGCTAACCCAATCAGACCTGAAAATTTTACATCCTTCATCAGACCCGAAAATATATACCATTCACCCGACCCGAAAAGACCCGACCCAAAATAATAATAAAAATACTATTTTTATTTAATAAAACAATGATTTAATTGAAAAAATAATATATAGAGGGGTATTATTGTAATTATCTATAAATATAAAAGGTAAATTTATTTTTTCCTGGGTCGGGTTGGGTATTTTTCACCCTAAAACCGAACCCGACCTGAGCATCACCTTTTAAAAAAATCTGACCCGATACGACCCAAACCTATAAAAAAAACCCAACCCGATCGGGTCGGGTCGGAACCCGTCGGACTCGGGTCCCATGCCCATCCCTAGACATATATACATTAATAACTGTCAACACATATTTTTCGTCCTACTAGGATTCAAACTCCTAAAAATATGATAGAATTTTAGGATTCAAACTCCTAAAAATAGGATAAAATTTTGCTAGGATTCAAACTCCTAAAAATAGGATAGAGTTCTACTATTATTTAAATTCCTAAAGATAGGATCCACAAGCACTATAAAGAGAAAATCGCCTCAGTGACCAAAAAAAAGTTATAATATACGATTTTAACCAACTTTTTTTGGATTTGCCAAAATGACCAACAAAATCGCAACGCGAAATAAAAATCGCAACGCGATCCCCAGAATCGCAAATCAGTGTCCAAAATCGCAACGCGATTCTTGAAAATCGCAATGCGATAGTCAAATTCGCATTGCGATTTTCCAAAATCGCAACGCGAATATGAAAATCGCAACGCGAACACATAAATCGCAATGCGTATCCGTAAATCGCAACGTGTATCCGTAAATCGCAACGCGTATGGGTAAATCGCAATGCGTATCCGTATATCGCAACGCGTATCGGTAAATCGCAACGATAATACATAAAATCGCAACGCGTATCCGTAAATCGCAACGCGATATTTAAAGCGCCATTATAATCGCTACGCGTATTTTATTTTCAAATTACAAAAACGAATATTAAGACAAAATCCCGTAATCGCAACTCATAACCTAAAACCTAAAATCACAACTCAGTCCCATCTCCATCTCTCACTCTCTACGGCGAAGAAATCCGTCCCCATCTCCGAAGATTTCCGTCCCCATCTCCGGCGAAATCCCTCACAACCATTCACGGTCAGAAATCCCTCACAATATTCAGAAATGGAAAATCAACCTCCGAGGGTTAGTTTTTTTAATTATTTTTATTTTGAAATGTTTGCATTATTGTAGGTTTTTCATATTGAAACTGATGATAAGTTTACTGGTCATTTCAATAATAGATTAACCATTTCACTTAGATTTCATTTCGCGTTACGATTCTCTCGTTGCGATTTTCATTTCGCGTTGCTATTCTCTCGTTGTGATTTTCAAGTTAGTATTTGTCTTTGTCTTTGTTCTGTCTTTTGGTTGAAGTAATGCAATCCATTCAAGTTTCAATTTGCAGAAGAGTCGCAACGAGATAAATGAAAATCGCAACGAGAGAATGACTGTCGCAACGCGAAATGAAAATCGCAACGAGAGAATCGCAACGCGAAATGAAAATCGCAACGAGAGAATCGCAACGCGAAACCAAAATCGCATTGCGATTTTTATTTCGCGTTGCGATTCTCTCGTTGCGATTTTCATTTCGCGTTGCGATTCTCTCGTTGCGATTGTCATTTCGCGTTGCGATTCTCTCGTTGCGATTTTCATTTCAACCAAAAGACAAAACAGTGTTGCAAATTTTAGTTTCAAGAATAAACTACTACTTTTTATGTTTATTGTTTTTGGTATATCTTCACAGTGTAGTTTTTGGTATATCTAACTTGGTATGTTTATTGTTTTTGTAGAAATTTTTTTCGGCTCAATTGACCTTGAGAAATAAAGTCAGCCTGGCCACTACAATTGCTTCGAAGCTTTCACCTGCTCAAAGACAATTGTTTGAGGAAACCTGCTTCGGGCCATGGCTGAGAGTACAGCATCCGGGTGGAGATGCTAATTTGACCCATTTGTGGCTTCAGACCATGACATCAAATCTACCCGACAGTATACAACGTGGTGAGGAAGAGATATGGTTTCATTTTCCACCAGCGTATACTTGCTTTGGGCGGAAGGAGTTCTGCTTAATCACTGGTCTATGATTCGGACACGATGATGTAGGCCGGTACACTCGTCATATCGCCCGCCCATCATGGTTATCCCGGGTTTTTCCGGATGAGTCAATGGAGAAGCCGAACCTACATGTCGACGACCTGAAGAAATTGTTTAATAAGAAAGCTGGTTTCACTCGGATGGATGACGTCGATGTTATCCGAGTATGCCTTCTACTACTTGTGTATGCCGGCTTTTTAGGCAGAGAGGCCATACAACCTATTCATCGGGAGCTAATAATATTGGTAGAGGACCTGAATGCATGGAATCTGTTTCCGTGGGGTTCGTATATATGGAAAGCTACCTGGACTAAGTTGTCGTCTGCCTTTGATGACCGCAAAAGTTTGCGGGGCGATGGGTCCAAATACACTTTGTCAGGCTTTGTTTGGGTCTTTAAGGTAAGAATTTCTATATAATGTTTCTAAAATTATAATTAATTATTTAACAATTACTAATTTTGTTATTATATTGTTTGTAGATTTGGATATTCGAGGCTTTCCCCAGCATGCGTACATATGCAATAAAAACGTCAAATGATATTCCCAGGGCTATTTCCTGGAAGAGGAAAACTCTGTTGGATTGGGAAGACTTAATACCATATGCGACAATAAATAATGTAAGTTAACACAAATACTTTCATATAATATATAAACAAGTTATTAATAGTAGACGTTTAACTTTGTTTGAGTTTTTATATTTTAGGAGGCCAACATTCCATTACAAAGACTGACACCCACGGAGGAAGAGCTTGCCACTGATTGGTGGCAAGCTAGTCAGAGTTTTTTTGATGGCACGGATGATGAGCAGCATCCACTTCCTCCAATTCGAGAGCCATCACCTCACCTAGAGCCATCACCCGATAGACCCGACTATACACCTCTAGAACG